CCTGCTCTACTGCCCTCAAAAAAATGAAAGGATAAAGTACTATTTTGCATAGAAAACACATTCCAGTCCAGTACTCAGTCTGCATTTTACTGTAGTTTGGGTGTTCACTTACACATACTGAAAATCATTCTAGACAGATTATAAATACAATTGCTTGAACTTAATTTCATAAACTCCATAAAAATAAGTATTTTACAAAAAAGCCACTGCACTTGAGGAAAAATAATAAAAATATTGCATGTTGGGATAGTTTAGTATCCATTTCAAGGAAATGTCTCTGTCCAATGCTATTTACTATTCTGCAAATTGAAGATATTAAATAAAAAATGTTCTTAAAAAATTTACTACTTGGAGTTAATTCTGGGAATTACTTTCATGCTATCTTATTTACCAACTAGTGAAAACTTTTTCCAATCCTATTATACTATTTTCCTCCTAATTCTATGTTTAAAACAGAAGAATTTAATCATGGTGACAAAGTGATACATAGCAAGAGTTCCCTCTTTGTTTTTAAAACACGAATATATGCAGAGATGGAGTTTTGTTTAATGTAGCATAACTCATGGACTAATATAAGGAGTTCCAACCTAAACTGCTTGCTTAGCTGTAAAATATAGTACCTTTCTTTTCACTGGCAAAGTGTCAGCAAAGCCAGTGATGATAGATAACTTGAGGATTTAATCAAGGCAAAAATAACTGTAGGAACATGGAAGAAATTGATCATATATTTACCACTACTGAATAGTTGTAAGCCAAACAGATAATGGCATCATTACATTCTCTAATGCCAAAGATGAAATACAGTGCAAAAAACTATGAAGAAGCAGTCACTGGGGTATTAATGAGTTTCAAACTTTATTTCATCCTCCTGGGAGGCATCTTTCTGAAAATACGGAGCTACAGTACAGACCATGTATTCAGAAGAAGTTAGGGAGTACCCATTCCCAATCCTTCAGCCAGCAGAGGCTATTACAAATGATACACCTTTACACTTCTTTGCCATATAATAACTGTGCTAGTTGCTCTGGACCACTGAATCCTTACACATGGACAGAATCTGCCAGAACAGCTACTTCACAGGGCTGATGGTGCTCTACTGTAAAACCCAAGTTTATGAGTCACGGGTGTATCACGAGCAGTGATCAATGACACTGAAGATGTAATCACAAAAGCCAGCCACGGGTATATATATATACACACACTTCTTTTTTTTTTGCCTACATACATTTTTTAAATATATCTATACAAACACAGACCAAGGTCTGACATGATCAGATGTGTTACTTTTGTACCCCAGCCTGTCACTCTTGGTTAGATTTTTCTCCCCCTAAAAACCTGTTATTCCAATTACTGTTTAATAACCAGACAGAAATTCTTCACTAGCTTCAAAAAATGTTTTGCAACAGTGAACATGTAACATAAGGTTACGCTTTTCTAATATCCCATGCTACAATGAATTTGGGAGCAGAATGAGTTGTTTCAGCATGATATCAAGTTACAGCACAACATCCTTGTCTCTAAACTGGAGAGACAAGGATCTGGCAGATATACCACTCACTGGATAACGAATTGACCAGATGGTTGCACTCAAAGAGTTGTGGTTAATGGCCTTATGTCTGTGTGGAAACCAGTGATGAGTGGCATTCCTCAGGGGTCAGTATTGGGACCAGCACAGTTCAACAGCTTTTTCCCTGACATGGACAGTGGGATTGAGTGCACACTCAGCAAATTTGCAGATGACACCAAGCTGTGTGATACAGTTAACATGCTGGAGGGAAGGGATGCCATCCAAAGGGACCTTGATATGCTTGACAGATGGGCGAGTACAAACCTCATGAGGTTCAATAAAGTCAAATGCAAGGTCCTGCATGTGAGTTGGAGCAGTCCCAAGCGAAAATACAGGCTGGGTGGAGAATGGACTGAGAGCTGCCCTGAGGAGAAGGACTTGGGCTGTTGGTCAATGAGAAGCTTAACATGACCTGGCAATGTGCACTTGCAGCCCAGAAAGCCAACCATATGTTGGGCTGCATCAAAAGAAGCATGACCAGCAGGTCAAGGGAAGTGATTCTCCTCTTCTACTCCACTCTTGTGAGACCCCACCTGGACTCCTGCATTCAGCTTTGGTGCCCCAACATAAGAGGGACACGAACCTGTTTGACCAAGTGCAGAGGAGGACCACAAAGATGATCAGAAAACAGGAGCATCTCTCCTATAGAGACAGACTGAAAGAGGTGGGCTTGTTCAGCCTGGAGAATAGAGAAGCCTGCCTTAGAGCAGCCTTCCAGTACCAAAAAGGGACCTACAGGATGCAGAATGATACAGTGACAGCAGAATAACATGATGGAGAAACCTATTAGAATGGGGGGGGTTAATCCTTGAAATTCTTATTAATTGGAAATGAGCAGTGGTGGTGTGCTATGATTTTTTCAGACTTTTCCATCATTATTTATTCCTCTATTAAAGATGCCATCTTTGCACAAAAGTAAAACGAACTGTCACTCACTTTAGTTGGACCATTTCCATGAATAGTGATTGGTAATGTGTCGTACACTGAATTCCTTGCTCTTACTTTTCCTTCTTCAAATTTCAAAAGTACTTCATCTGCAAATCATAGATTGTACAGTAATAACAGTTTATAAACACAAGCTGTAGTTTCAGAGTTCTTTAAGTTCTTGATGATACAATATACTTTGGTGTTATTATCATTGTCAATGTTACTTTAGTGCTAAATATGGTTACATAAAACTTTAGAATTTGCCATCAGCAGCCTTCAATAGTTGTATAAAATCTGCTTTAAAAATAAAACTAATGTTGTGCAAATAATATTTATAGAGAAATCAGTTATTTCAGGTATGATCTGACTTTGATTTTTTCTCCCCATATTTAGAGTTTAAATGTAAGAAAGGAAGTTTGCACAGATGCCATCCTTCAGTTTAAATTCATGACAGCTGCATAAAGGAAATCCTACATTATTCCACATGCCATGTCATTATGTATAGTCATTTGCTTTAGAACACCTAAAATGCAGTTTTCATTACTGATCTTACTCCTGTAATTAAGTTTGTGAAAGGCAGAAGGAAAAATGATTCTTAACTTTGTGTTTAGTGCTAACTTCATTTATTGAAAACTTTTTTTCTGTTTTTAAATCAAGTATTTTATCAATGGGAGAAATCAATTCATATTAAACCCAAACAACCTGTAACTGATCTGGCAGCCAGATTTACCCATCCAAATATTTCATTAAAACAAACATATGCTTAGGGAATTCTATTTATTGTTAAGGAAAGGAAGTGTTAACAACATTTAATACAACACACAACATTCAAATCATATGCTTACCAATAGCTCCATTTAGGGTCTGGAAAATTGCACATTTGTGGTCCAAAGTAATGTTAAAACGTTCCTGAAATAAAAGCACCAAAGCTATGGAAGCATTCTAAAAGCCAATATTTTTTACAGTAATGTTACAGCTATATTGCAGTGGCAACAAGTAATCAGGCAAAACTACTCTACATATTCAGCTGTCAGATATAATTATTAATTTTATACTGTTAAGTTTTTCTATATTTCTGATTTGTGCAGCTGTATAGCAATCAGTTTTATAAATGCAAAAAATTTACCTATACTTAAAGGATAGAGGTCATAACTCTCCAAAGAAACTACAGTTTGGCAGTATAAGCCAAAGAAAATCTGTGTCTTATCCTAAAAAATAAATAAATAAATTAGCAAGTCTAGTCTTAGCCAAGCAACAAAGCATACTATGTTTTACAGTCTCAAAAATACAAAAAGCAAATCTAAGTATCATGTAAGAATAGAAAACACCAGTGGTTTTAGAACATGTTCTTAATATTGTATTATTAATCCTACCGAGATTCTTACTTACAATAACATGTTTTGAAGTTTTAACATGTTGATCAGTAAGTATATAACCTTTAAAACACACTTAAAAGCCCTTATACATGTAACATATTCTGGTTTGGTCTTCCAAAATTGGTTATAGCATTGGACAACACTGCACAGAGAATTGGTGCTAAGGTATAGTGCAATATCCCAAGCTAAGCACCACGGAGGCATTTTGAATCACGGTGTAGTAGTGCACTGTGAAGAAGTACACTTTTTATTTGTCTAGGAGACAATCTATTTAGACAGCTAATTACATTACTTCTGACTTTGGTGCAGAGTCAGCTTTAATGTCTCTACACCCTGTCCTTTCAATTGCATATGTAGCATCTGACTTAACTTGCACAAAATCAATTTAAACATTAAGGGCTGGAACAAATGTCGTACAAGAAGTGGCTAAGGACTTTGGGTTTATCTGGTCTGAACAAAAAGGGGCTGAGGGGTGACCTCACTGCTCTCTACAACTTCCTGAGAAGGGGAAGTGGAGTGAGAGGTGCTGATCTCTTCTCCTTGGGATCCAGAGATAGGACAAATGGGAATAGTTCAGATCCGCATCCAGGGAGGTTTAGACTGGACCTCAAGAGGCATTTCTTTACTGAAAGGGTGGTAAAACACTGGAACAGGCTTCCTAGAGAGGTGGTCAATGCCCCAAGCATTGGAGTCAAGTTTTTAAGGGAAAATGCCCTTCATAACATGCATTAACTTTCGGTCAGCCCTGTACTGGCCAGGCATTTGGACTAGATCATCACTGTAGGTCCTTTCCAACTGAAATGTTCTACTCTATTTCTGTGCTTTTATCTAAACATGCCTGATGTTTCAGGCATAACTTAGTGGAAAAACATATAGGTAATTCAGAAACTTCACATCTGCCTTAAGCATACAAATGCTCAAAATCAACCTCAGATTCTGCAATATCAGCTTCTAACAGTCTTTTTGCATCAATACATTGTTAACTTTCCTTTTTCCACTAGCAGGGCTGTAGCTCTGACATCTATCATGCTTTAATGTTCCTACTCGGCAGAGGACTTTGTTAAGCTTAGGAGACAGAGAGGTCTTCACCAAAATTTATGATGCAGCTTTATTGAACGTATCTGCACAAAAAGCTGAAAAGTCAGAGGCAGCTGCAGGCAGGAGCTGAAATGGCAGCAAGCCAAAATATAAAACACTGGATCAGCAAGTAGTTCAGTGACACCCTGGAAAAACGCCACGTTCTCTGGCTGTCAAACTGCCAAGTACATGGGACCCTCATTGAGATAAATGTGTCTGATCATATACCTCAGAGCTACCATTTCTAACAACGAAGCACAACCTGCCTGGATCTGCAGACAGCCTGAATAATATATCAAGTCATGACCCTTTGGAACCCTGTTCGTCACTCTGACAGGAAGAACCTCCAGAGGACAAACACAACTGTCAATATGGGACTCAGGAATAAAGAGACAGCATTCCTTTTATTTTTTCTCCTGACTTTTTATGAGGAGCAGCATGTTGTTTCAAGCAGAAAGAAATGAGAAAGCCAGTTACTACCTACCCTTGCCAATGGGTCAACATAGATTTTAGTGTAAAACAGCTGGTCATCATCATTATCCTGCAGATTCCATTGCTGCACGATACGATTTATGTATGGAGCATAACCAATAAATCCTGCAATATCACACACACATAAGTTATTTCCATAAAAAGCACTATTCTGCCAATGCTGTCCACCTGTCAGGATCTTCATTCTTACTGTTTGGTGCCAGCAAAGGAGAAGTATGAAATTCATACAACTTGACTCAAAATCCAGCTTTCTTCCTGTCATATGTACCATTTCTGTTTTAAAGAATTCATAATTAAGGATTATTTTTATAGAAATGCTATTTTAAGTGAAAAAGTAGGAAACAGAGATCTGTTTTGGATGGTCCTGAGAACACCAAAGCATTAGATTACACTACTACTATCCCCAAGATCCCATCTGTGGAAAGAAAGTTTAATTTTCATCAATCACTTCTTGCTGGCAGAGAAACTTGAATCTAATATTGCCAGAACTCCAAAGAGAATTCACCTCAAAACCAATACACATTATATTTCAGCCAAAACAACAACAACAAAAAAAAAGAAAACAAAAAAAAAAAACCCACTCACAAAAAAAACCCACAAAACCATACAACAGGAAAAAAAACCCAAACCAAAACAAACCCACACCAAACACAAAAACCAGCATGGCATATAGGTGAGGTAAAGAAGAGAGGGAAAGAAACAGGCACATTCCTAGATCTGCACCCTGCCCAGCACCACGTACCTAGGAAGTGACATATGCTGTGCTCTGCAGCAGTTAACAGTATCAGTGTCAGTGCATATATTAATCAATTGCAAAAATTATTACCAAAACTCACATTTAAATTAAGGAGGATTCCAGAATTAACGCATCATTGAGATTAACAGGAGTAACTCAAATTTCTCTTGGAATGAACTGCCTTAGCCATGTTGATGGGCCAGGCAAAGCTACCAGCGCATCTACGCTGTATGCAGAGATCACCAGGAACAAGGTAGCTAAGTCAGAAATCACTGTGATGCAGCTAAACTGTGCCTATAAATGCCATGTACTGCTTTGACTGCACTTGCACACTGGATTGTTTCTGAAGTAGATTCAATCAATGGCGACTGGGTCACCCCTGCACAGCATTTCATTGCAAGACAGTTGCTTGCTAGGCCATCACTTTATTTACCTGCTTTTTACAAGTTATTGACAGCAAATACTATGTAAGTTTGAACGAAAACTGTTCTTGAGCACAGAAGAGGAGATATTTGACTGGGGAGGAAGACAAGAAAGAGGTGGACAGCAGATCTAGTCCTTGATTTTACACTTGGGGAATTCAGGAATAGTTTCCCATACAAGTATGTAAAACAGGTGACAGAAACAAGCCATGTTCAAGTTCAAGAATTCATTATATTCAAAAACTACACTTGCCTCCTGAGTTCAGGAATCGTTTTCCACTCCGTACAACAGGATACTTGTCAGCCAGCCTTTTATCTGGCCAAATTAGTCCATCTGCTGCAAACACCACTTTATGATTAGTTTCCTGAAATTTCTTTAGCAGTTCTTCAGGGCTCCCCGCAAAAATTACGTCATAACTGAAAATAAAGAAAAGATACCCATTAGACTAGTTTAATTTTAATACTTCTGTGTTCAAAGTAACAAATAGTTAGACTATTCACGTTTTTTAAAATCATACAGACAGACCTTTGATTCTGAAAAATTACATTAATCATGTTTTACCACCATGTAAAAATTCCCTATCCTTTCTAGGAGAAATAAAATTTAATCAATACTATTTCCCCTTCTATTTACATTCCTTTCTTTTTTATTTTTAAACCTTACACATTTTGGATGTTCTTTTTCCGTCAGATTCAGTCTACCTGAAATCAGTTTTCACATTTCATGTATTCTTAGTTTAAAAAAAAAAAACCCAACCAACCAAACAAACAAAAAAACCAACCAACCAAACAAACAAACAAAAAAACACACACACACACAAAAAAAAAAAAAACCGGAAAAACCTATTTCTCCTTTGGAAAACTTCTTATGTGTTCAAGAACAACCACCAAAAAAGAAAAGAAAAAAAAAAAATCAAAACTCAGCAGATGAAATACAGTAGGACTGAAAGATAATTCATGTATCTCTTACTTAGAGACACTAGATGATCTTGTTCCAAAACACAACAGCACTTCGTTCTGAAAAGTCTTAAGAGTGTACCTAGATATTTCTTCATAAAGTCTAGTTGCCTATAAACTTAAACTGTGTTATATCTGACAATATATAACTTTCTCCTTCAACCTCCTTAATGTGCTGAAGTCTTCAGGAGGCTCTAAACTTCACATCTGTTTATGAAAAACTCCACCTGCCTTTATGTGTTCGTCAGATTTGACTCCTACCTCCTATTGAGGACAAAGACCTGAAGTTGGAGGGCTCATCTATAAAAACAGCGGTTACCCATAGCCAGAGGTCAACATCACCCCAAAACAGAAACAAATATGCATGGGTTTGGCAAAGGTCATGTAAGAACGTAGTATCACAAGTCCTGGGGTTTCTTGCTGTTGAAACATCTAAATCAATGCATCTTGAGGGATGGGGGAGTGAAGAGATGACACAAAGCCTCAAAGGATGTATAAATTACTAAATTATTCAGAGTGTAAGGTTCATTTGTTTGTGCTTAAGATCTACATATAAAAGCATTAATGTGAAAACCACTTCAAGGTTCATTTTACACAACATGAAACCATGACAAGTAATATTGGAATTATGTCCCAGATTAGACTCCGGCTGAGGAAGCAGAATATTTGGTTTGAATGGCAGCATCTCAGCCCCACATCTTTCTCATCTGAATGCAGGTATATTCATCTTATTCCACACATCTACCTTAGTAACTGAAAACCATAAGCCCTGATATAGGGGGCAAAGGAATGGTACAGCAACCAGTAATCAAAAGATCTAACCTTGATCAGGATTTTGTCCTTGCAAAGTCTTTCAGCAGGGCTAAGGAAGACAGCAGTACCTCACACCTGCAGTACACAGAACTTTTTGCACTGTGATTTATTAGCCAGCAGTAGTGCCAACAGACCAGCTATTACTGACTTCTGGTACTTCTTTATTACAGTTTTGAAATTATTTAAAATGTCTTTTCTTCAAAGGGAATTTCATGCAATTGATCTAAGAGAACTGAACAACACCAGACTTACAAATGCAAAAGAGTATTTCCACTGCAGAGAACAGAATGAATCCTGGAGAGGAAGTGTGTTATGTAGTCTATATAAAGTAAGTAGGTTTCTGAAAACTCACTGGTTTGTTTTTCTATAACTTTGGCAGAAGAATGTATAAAAAAAAAAAAAAAATACTGCACATTTTGGAGCTTCCCCAGTTTTGCAAAAACTGCCTGTTTCTGTCCAAGTATACAGGAAAACACTTCCCTCCCTTTTTCCATTCAATTGGTGTAACCTGATTCAAAGCCAGAATGAGCCTGAAGAACAAGCAAGAAACAGGAGACAAGTCAAAGATAGACAAAACCAGAAATTTGTCTGAAGCTTTAACTTAATAGCTTATGGCAGGCTATGCTTCTCTTTGATCAGGTTAGTGCTGCTTCTGCAATGACTTACAGCTGGAATATTGCTCCCAAGGACTGTCATTCTGTAAAAGAAAACCAAAGTTGAGCAAAATGCCGGACTAGCCACAGGCTCTGCTTGTGAAAGGGACATGCTACTTAATACAGCACTGTCTATAATAGAAAGCACAGAACAGAGCTGCTAAACTGCATTACTAATTATTGTAAACTTTACACACTAATGGATATTATGCAGGAGTATGAATCCAGCATGGACTCAGGTCTCCACCATTAAATCCATCACAAAACAGGTCCCAGGACTATCCTTGACAGTTTATACTGTTACTATGAGTGATCCACATAGAATCAGAATCAGCTAGGTTGGAAAAGACCTTTGAGATCATCAAGTCCAACTGTTACCTCAGGACTGCCAAGTCCACCACTAAACTGTGTCATTAACCTTGTCTACACAGGTTTTGAACACTTCCAGGGACAGCGATTCCACCACTTTCCTGGGCAGCCTTGTCCAATGCCTGACTGATCCAGGTAATTTAATTCACATGATCTTAAAATGTAAATATTTTAGCTATACTCAAAAGGAAAAAGACTATACTAGGTAAGACACACAAGGTGATGAACTTGCTACAGATCAGTTCACTTCAACAGGACTTCAAAATTTGACAGGAAAGAAAAAAATGTGGAAATACCCAGGAAAATGCAGGCTGCCTTGGCAAGCTGGAAAAGCTCAAATAATCTTTTGCTTAGTCTTCATAAATCCTTCTAATTAAGTAGAAAGCAAGAAGAAAGAGGGAAAGAAAAAAAAAAAAACAACACAAAACCAAACACACCACACACACCCCCAAAACCAAACCAAACCAAAAAAAAGACAAAACACCAAAGTTTTCACAACTCCAATCCCATTTCCTGAAGCTCCCAGATGGCAGATGTTTGGGGCTGGAATCGACCCATCCCTCCTCCTCTTGCAGCAGCAAAGCATCCCTGCTACACACCCAAAAACACAAGGAAGTGTCAAAGATGGCTGAGGTCCTCTGGAATTGTAAATGCAGTTTTTGCATCCACAACTTTATAACAAGGACTTGTTATTAATGGGGCTGCAGGTTAAGAACTCAAAATACAATCGAGAGAGGGCTTACTAGTAACCAGCAATTCGGGTCCTACATCTCATCTTATTTAACTGGACTATTCAGCCACACAGCCATTCTGTCATCTATACTGTATCCCAACTGGTAGGACATCTTAACCATTTTGAGATATGTATAAAATGTAATTATCCCTTACTTTCTGAAAGATATTTCAGGGGAAAAAAAAAATTAAAAAAAACCCCCAAAAACCAAAAAAGGTCATAACAAAACAGAGGCTTCAAAAATATTCCACAACACAAATAGATGGCTGTGGGAGTTCTAGATGAACAGTAAAAGCACCAACCATTTTATCCAGTCTACACTGGCCATTAGCCAGTTCAATCTGAAATGGTCCAAAGTAAACCAGTAGTTAGCTCGTGCAAAAATAAGCCTAATTTAAGTAGTGTTCCATCTGCAGGCAAAGCATTTTGCTATCTTCGCCTAGACACAAGCTATCCACAGAAGTTGTGCAAACTTTTCCAGAATTGTGAGCCATGTAAAAAACTGCTCAAGAAAAAAAGAGAAAAAGGCAAGAACCCAAGTTTAAGTAAACAGTTCACTAGAAATTACTTGCCTAGTTACAGTAAGTAAACCAGACATTTCCTTTCCCTGCCCCCAAGATTAATATTCCAAATGCTTCACCATGAATATAACAAAAAACACTTGAAAAATAAAGGAAGTTTGCTATATTTGTCTTTTCTAAAGTTAAAAATACAATGATCAACATTTAAAAATTGCAAACCAGGATTTCTAGAAATTAAAGAGCTCATTAGAATTAAAATATAATGCTAGAACCAGCAAACTTTTTTTTTCCTATCTGGAATCAGTTCCACCAACTTTAAATCAGTACGTACTTGGGATTATAGACCTCAAGAACTTGGGAGGCCTTAAATCCTGTGATTTTTCATGACAAAATAGATTACGGCATCTGCATTTCAACACATGGTCCTCTACTCCCTCATCCATGCCAGCAGACAGCCTGCCTCTCAAGAGAATAAATTGTGTTGGAGAAGAGTTTGAGCTATACCCAAATCTGATTAAAAAAAAAGTGCACATTTTCCCATATAGGAAGAAAACAGTGATGAATCAGGATAATAAATTCAAAAACAAAGACATTCTATGTAAGTAGCAAATATCTGATTCATCTGAGCATTTAGTACAGAACAAAATTATCTCCCAAATTAATTTCAAAAGTGTCAGTTATTCCATGACCAGTTAGACAACACTGTGAACAAACATGTAATATTTACTTTTAGAAAGATGCTTTTTCCACTTACAAATAGGGGGGTGGTGGGAAGGGGAAGCACGGGTAAGCACAGGGAAGCAATGGAAAAAGTAGGATTTGAACACATTTGAGCTCCCTGTTCTCTGTGACAGGGAGAAACCTATCTGGCCTCCAGTGAGGATGTTCAAGCATAGCTGTTCTATGAGCTATAATCTGGCATCTGCAGCAGCACTGTCTCCCCATCCTTCCATCACGCAGGCTGCGGGGTGTATGTGGCACCAAGCCTCTTATTTCAGTTCTCTACCATGTAAAAGAAGCTCTCCTGTTAAATGCTTTCCTCAGGGGCCCATTTTCAAGCTTCCTCCATATCACTTACTTCATGGAACAAGATCATGCTCTGGTCCCTACTGGCCACTTTATTTCTGGCGCTGCTTTTGCTCCCCTCCTCCATCCCACACTCCTAGCCTGCAGCCATGTCCCGCTCTCACTGCAGAAGAGAGCAGGAAGGCTTGCCTAAAAGCCTGTCAGCTCCCAAAAGCTGTTCTTCCAGCCCCTCAAGGCAGCAGAACTATGAACAACTCTTACATCTGTAAATCTGTTTAAAAAGTAATGATGGCTTTTTGAGCAATCTACTATTTTTATGAATGGAGAAAAATAGGAGCAAACTGTCTCAAACCATAAGGGGGAAAAGCAGCATGCAACTTTCAGCATGTCAGGCAGCTACTTTTGCATGCCTACCCAGACTAAAACGTAAAGACAATAAGCCAGGTTTGCTCACCATTCAACAAACATTACAACCAAGTCCTCTTGATCAGCATAGCTTTCTATGCCTTCTTTCAGTAACCGAACTTTCTGCCCTCCACCAATAGAATTAGGTAGCTCCCCACCTTTCCACTCTTCACCTCTTCCAAGTACCTGGAAGAAATAAAAAAAAAAAGAGCATTTTTGCTAGTATCCAAAACAAGAGGCTTTTTAAAGCAGGACCTTATTGAAAACAGATGTTCAAGCAGAAGCAACATATTAAAGCATAACAAGCCAGCATTTCCAGCATCATAAGTTTTCCATGTCTGAAGCAGCATTAGGCACAATGACATCACTACAAAAACATGAGACATTTCTTAACCAAGTAAGAATTGAGCAATTGCCTGCTACCACCGTTTATTCAAATGAGTCTCCTTCAGAGAGGGGAAAAAAAAAAAAAAAAAAAAAAAAAAAAAACAAACCATCAACCCCTCCCCATTTTTTTTTAAAAAAAAAAAAAAAAAAAAAGCCACACCAAAATCAAAAGAACCCAAAAAAACCCACACCAGAAACAAACACTAGTAATTGTTTCAAAATTTGTATTACAAAAACATTCTGAGTGAGACCTTTAAAAATCAGTGTAATCACTTTGGGAACAGGAAGCTAAGAGATCTTGGTGAATCAGGGTTTTCTTAATACAAATCACAAGCTCCAATCTTTCTCAAATCCCTCCAGAACACTTTTCTATATGGAAAGGATAGGTTCCCCTATAGGGTGGCTGCTAAAACCAGCTAAACAAAACTCCTCCCTAGTCAAGCACTTTAGTGAATTACAGCTCAAAAAATAACAAAAATGCTTAAACTTTTTGTGGGTTTTGAACATAATGTTTTTGGAACTCATAAAACCTGGACGAACCACACTGCATGAAGCTTTGGACAAATCTGCAAAGTTAATAGATACACCCAGAGCTCAGGCTTCCCGGGTGCTTCAGTACATCATTATCATATTATGAAAGGTTCTGAGTCTTCCAAGTTCAGTGGTTCAAGTCGAACTTCAAAGACCCAAATAATTTCCTATTTATGGTGCAGACACCATCATAAGTAAGCAGAAAAAAAAAAATCATAACACCACCAATTCTCGGCTTTTCTCTCGCAGACCAATTTGTGGGGAAAGTTTAGAAGAGGTTTAGTGCCCTCCCTTTTTCCCCAAGGTCATGCAGAGGGCAACCTCAGAATGTGACATGTGGAGATACGGAGCAAGGCAGAAAGAATGATAGAAACATTTTGTCCTCTCAGAGAATTACAGGTTCCTGGAAAACACAAAGAAACTCTCACTTGTTCCCCACAGCAGAGATCCGGCTTTGTTTAAGGAGGAAGGAGACTTTCAAAGCCCTTTCAACACAAGTGCTGCTTCCAGAAGTATTAATTCAATCAAAATCAGCCACACTGAAGACTGAGGCTGTATTACAAATCATGACAGAACCTTTAAGTGACTGAGGACACCAATCACAATAGCTACTGATCTTTAGAACAGTTCCTCAGGCAGTGAAAGCAGCACTCTCTCGTGGTTGTTCGGAGGAGGACCAGCAGGTAAGCAACAGGGAGAGCAGCATGGCCACATGCAAGTGCCTTACCTGCCCCTGAGCTGTGTAGTTCTTTTACTTTGCTGCAGCATGCAAGGAAGCTAATGCAATTTCAGTTACTATTGCACTGTGTCTTAAAGGCTTTGTAGTATGAATATCTGGTATGAAAACATACAATACCTTTACTGTGTAGTTGAAGTGCTTTGCAGTTTGCATGAAACGGTGAAAGCCATCAGGTTCTTTCGTTGCTACAGTAAAAACTAGCAGTTTATCTGAGGGAGAAAAAGAAGTAATGTGTGTTAATATGTTCTCAGGCCACAGTTTATAATAAAAAAAAAAAAATGCACTGGACAGCTCTGGATCAGGGGACTTGCATCTCATTCCAAGACAGGAGGCAAATACATAGTCATATTATAGGCTTAACACATTATCAGACAAGAACTACTATGGACAAGGGTGCTGTATTTAAAATTATCCTCAGGAAGAGGAAGCAAAGAAAGCTATCTACTCTGTAAACAACTAACTCAAGACATGAAAATAAAGCTAGTATGACTACTGCACAGGAAAGAATCTTCAAAACAAAAATAACTTACTACTTCTCAGTCTGAGCTAATTCTGTGATCTCTTATCACATGACTGAATGGTACCAGCCTTGGTAATTCCCATGAAAGAAAATGTTCATACTCTTCATGGAAACAGGGCAAAAAAACCCCAAAACTATGGAAACCAGTCCCCCAACAGGCAGCATTTAGTGCTTTTAAGTCCTTGGGCAAGAGAAAAGAGCAAGGGTTTGGGGTTTTTTTTTATTTAGAGCCTCTGTAAATTACAGCAGTGCCCTCTTACTGCATGCAGGCAAACGACTACGCAACCAATTTCCTTTTCATATCCCAGGGCTTTTGACATAGTTCAAATGATGCCATGCATTCCCGCTAAACAGCTTCCCAATAAAAATACTGAAAAACATTCAGCACCCTATGCTATATACTGCATAATCAAGGCACGTAATTCAAAGCTGTGAGAAAGGCAGTACCGCTATCCAACATCAAGTATTTAATCAGACCAGCCTGGATCCCAGAGCACACTTCAGTTCCCCAATTTAGTCTGAGTTCAAGCAACAGCTGCCCTCTGAACAGAGCCCATGAGATCAATCCTTACAAGAAAGTAAAATTTATCGTCTCTAAGGAACATTCCAGATACAGTGCCTGTTGCTGCTTTACTTTCCTATAAAACATTCTCTGGGTTTATCCTCACCAGCACAGTAACGTGTGCTAACAGCAGTTGCTGTGAGAAACATTTCTGCTAACCCTTCAGCCTTGTCCACCACCACAGACGTAGCAGGCTAAAACTTTTGGTTAGACAGTTTTAGAAGATTAATTGCTCCATCTTTTTCCCACTTAAGTGGCAGCAGTATTTATAGGCAAGAATCAGAAGAAAAATCCCTTGAGCACATCTCAGGAGGGTAGGAGGACCTCCACAGAGGAATCCAGTGCAATCTGTTCACAGACACACTGACTCACAGATAGACTTGAACACAGCAGTAACGGTTCAATACCTTCAAAATCATTTATTCTAAAGGTCATGTAGTTTAAAGTAATTCTACAGGAGTCACCACAGAATGAATAAAGAACATAGTATCTTAGACTATGACTAAAACAGAAGTGAAGACAGAGGATAGGATTTTTCTCTATGAACAGGTTAAGTTATGATTAATTTTTTGTCAAACACACAAATTTTCAAATTAAAGGGAACAGGAAAAATCTGATCATACCAGACTGTACCACCAAGCCAAGTGAATCCATAATTGAAAGTTTCCATGGTGAGAGACTGATGACATGATGATCCAGATGACCAACCAGTTAAGCACTGACTATAACCACAGAATTTGGTTTGGGGTAGACATATTTCACACCTACTCCTTCCTGAAGAATGCTAACAGCAAGGATTTCAAAAATGTACTTTAAAACATGATGCAAATGACAAAACATGGGCTGCATCAGATTCCTTCTATAGTCATTAAGTCAAAGAAAGTATTAAATCAATGCGCAATTACAGTTTGGCAAGCAAAAAAATAATCTACTGTACTTTACAGGGTATTGTCATTCTCTTTTCATGGAACCCAAAGTAATTCCACCTACACATTGTTCAAGTATTTCAGGATTCACTATGGATTGTGGTATGTTACGGGTTTTGTGGAATAAGAGGAAAGATAATGATGTGCCAAATCATAAGGGTTTGCAACCTGAGCTATATAAATGGAGAAAGATGAGCAGACAAATAACATCCTTTATATTGACATGAAACTGCAGAAGCACCTGTATTACACTCACAGCCAATGAAGCAGTCTAAGGAAGCTGCCTCAGTTAGTCTGCAAACAGTCACAAAACAGGAAGCTATTTTTGTAAATGTATGATTCACATTGGAAATGTTTCCCTTTTAGCATACTTGCCAATGGTCAATTTTTTAAAACCACAGATGAAAAGGCTAGGCTGCATCAAAAGGAGCATGACCAGCAGGTCAAAGGGGATGATCCTGCCCTTCTACTCTGCTCTCATGAGAGCTCACTTTGGAGTACTGTGTACAGTTCTGGTGTCCTCAACATACGAAGGACATGGAGCTGTTGGAGCAAGTCCAGAGGAGGGCCACGAGGATGACAAGGGGGCTGGAGCACCTCCTTAACAGAGACTGGCTAAGAAAGCTGTGGCTGTTCAGCCTGGAGACCTCATAGCAGCCTTCCAGTGTGTGAAGGGGGCCTACAAGGATGCTGGAGAAGGACTCTTCATCAGGGACTGTAGAGATAGGACAGGGGGGAACAGGTTTAAACTTAAACAGGGGAACTTCAGGTTAGATATAAGGAAGAAGTTCTTTACTGTGAGGATGGTGACGCACTGGAATGGTTTGCCCAAAGAAGTTGTGAATGCTCCATCCCTGGCAGTGTCTAAGGCCAGGTTGGACAGAGCCTTGAACAACCTGGTTTAGTGGGAGGTGTCCCTGCGCATTGGCAGGTGGGTTGGAACTCGATGATCTTAAGGTCCTTTCCACCTCTGTGATTCTATTTCCATGTCTCTGCTGCACCACAGAATTTTAGGTGCATGTGGTACTTAAAAATTATTTAAGTGCATCAGAATTGTAATTATAGCATTTAGAGTCCATTTAGAATTAAGAGTTTCTTTGTAGACTACTAAATCTTTGTTGAGGGTTTTTTGGGGAGGTAGTGGGGTTGTTTGGTTTGATTTTGTGGTTGGATTTTTTGGGGGTTTGGTTGGGTTTTTTTGTTTGTTTGTTTGGGGTTTTTTGTTTGTTTCCTTTAAGTAATCTGTGTCTGACCAAAGAGCAAAAAACACATGCTTTTTACCCTGTCTATAGTGTGTATGGACAGTCAGTGCAAAGTGCATTAAATTATAGTTACCCTGGTACATCACATAGGGCATTACTAACTCTAAGAGGAAAGAGCACTGTAGTCTTCTAGTTAATAAGACATTACAAAAATATTAATGTAATTCCTGTAGGCTCCTGTGACTTTATTTAGATCCAAGTGACAACTTGCACCAGTTTTACTGGCAGAGTTCCACTAAGCATAGCATGGCAGATACACGTTTCTTCCGGGGGAAATGAGTGAAGAGAATGCTTCTGCCCACCAAATACTTCTGCTTATTTCTTTTTAATCTTTTAATTTGATTCACTTTGAAATACCCATTCCTTGTTTGCTACATTTAGGTACAACCTCTTAGAACACTTGCCCAAGCTGTGTCTCGTAACACAAATCCAACTGATTTTCACAAACTCACAGAACTGTCAATGTGCAAGTACAACACAGATCCCAGGGTAGTAAGTTTATCCAAGTGCCATTTCCATTTCAGGATGTGCTCAGCTACATCTATTTTCCCTGCAGCCACCCACAGTGTCGCTGCTACGCAAAGCAGGTTCGGTCACACAAAGAGCCCCGCTGGTGTGGATGTTCAGTGCAGCACCAGCGCCCTTACCATAGGCTGAAATGCACGCAAATGTTGCACTGAGCGGTCGAGTGACTGGCCCAGTCTCCCCAGCAGCCTCTGTGCCAGCTCCAGCTGTGCAGTGAAGACCTAAGCCTAGCAGCGGAAAGCTATCTGCAATTACTCAGACCCCAAGTTACCACTGTGGCCCAGTACCCCACAGCGAGCGAGCCACAAAATTCTGTGTTTGCGAAAACCCCACGATGAATTCTAGCTGCAGCTCGACACTGTTCCTGCTTCACTACCCTCTTTGGCACAAACCCCTGCCCCATCCTCCACGCAGGTGTCTACCTAAAGGAGCTCTGCTGCATGGTGTTGCACGTAGGCTTGAGCTATCCTTAAGTCTGCCTATCCCCCCGACATGAAAGGACAAATGCACACTTTCAGTAATATTTTCCAACAAACAGTAACAGCATCCTCAAAATGCAAGCTTAAATGAAACAACACAGCAGGCAGTCACAGCCCTCCACACTTGCAGGGTACTGGGATGCCACAGAGGGTACAGACCGCCTGGCAGGCCTAGGCTCCCCCAGCACGCAGCCTGCCAGAGGCATCTTGGCAGGCACTGGAGGGGATTACCAAGCTTGGCATTTATTTCCACATGTAAAGTCAGTCTGTGTAAAAAGGAAAAGCAAACCCTATACTAAAGTTCAACGGGAAGGCATGAAAAACATCTCTGAAGAGCTTCATGCCAGGTATGAGGGTTCTGAAGTTACTAGATTGCAATTATTCCAGACAGTTTTCCGATAGTTATAGTCACAAAACAGCTGTTCCATTTTGAAAACAAGCCTGAAAGAGCATGAATTTGGCCAAGAAAAGTATATCCAGTGACAAAAAGAATTCATTTGTACATGCAAATTAGGAAACCCTTTAGCACTCAAGTTGTGAAAGACAACACTGCATTGACAGCACATGCAACTTAGAAGGAAATCCAGTGAAGGGTTATCAAAACATCTCTCTCTTATTCAGTCTTTTGTGCCACTACCATGAGGGATCTGACAATCATAAATATTTATTTCCACAAATAAGAACTATAAACCAAAGCGTTTGTCTTCAGTGAATTGCCTGGCAAGGTCTCAGCCAGAAATTGACATGGCAAGACTGCTTTAAGTAGCAGTAACCTCTCTCCTTGTACCTTGGCAAAGAAGTAAGCAAAGAACTGCAGGCATTCCTCACACGCCCACATGGTTCTTATTTATCTTGAATGAATACTGACAGAGATTACTATATAATTTCTACCAGGGGTTGTGGGCACTAGTACAGTAGATTCAGAGCAGCCAGAACTGAGGATGTTGCTCACAGCCACATGGGAGCTGACATTTAGTCCTTGGATTCAAGTACCATGGACTTCTCTGGAGCAGGAGTGAACTGTAAGATCAAAGGACATCTGTG